GCCCCCACAACAGAGAGCAGATCTGCTTCTCCGGATACAGTCTTGGACTTTCGGTTCAACTCTGCGAGATCTTCCTTTGGCCAGATCACACCAAGACTCTTCTTACTTGGCAAATCCTCCGGTGCTGGGAGTTGTGCCAACTCCGTTGCGAGCGACAACGGATCACTTCCAGCACGTACATGTGCCCAAGCCACAACACTGTCATCTCCCACACGTCGCACCACGATGAGTTTGCGCAGAGCGGCATTTGATACTTTAATAGCGTCCTCTACAGTAGCGCGGTATGGTTCGCCACGGAGGATTGCGGCAACGTTAAATGAACTTGCCACGCATGTACGCATCCAATACGGCACAGCTCCACAACCTTCAGAGATATTATTAGCAGATGTGGAGGGTTTACTATACCGACTTTCTGCCTTTAGGGCCTTCATCACACGCTTTTCCTCTTCCATTAACTCCGGTAGAAGAGTGCAGGTGCCTGTCTCGCTCTTAACATCCGCCACCACTGTTGCCGCAACGTTCATACGGGGTTGTAACATACAAACAAGTTTGATCTTCTCCTTTACCTCACCATCAATCTGCTTAAGGAAGGTAGATACCACTTCCTTCTTAGCAGCCAACTCCTCTGACTGTTTGCGCTTTAACTCATCCAGACGTTCACGATTTCTTTGTTGTAGGCGCTGCTCCTCCTTCTTCAGACGATCCTCTTCACGCTTGTGTTGAATCTGCGCACGGAAGGAACGTTCCTGGAGTGTAAACAACTCCCGCTCCGACTGTTCCTGCAACAGCAATTGTGCGAGGAGATGAGTCTTTGGCAATACCCGCACCGCAGGCACTTCTTCACGACGGCGCAACACATCCTTAAGAAACCGTGTCGTATCGAAAGAGTACTGCGAACCGGAAATAGATCCAAACTCCGTTCCTCGTCCACTCACAGAAAACCGTGGGCATCCATTTATGTACGTCGGCGACAGACCAAGGTTGTCATTGCCATTGCGATGTACAGCAATGACATTTCCGTTTGGTGATTCCATGGACATCTTTTACAACGTAGATATCAATAAACAAAGACAAAAAAAAAATAGCTTCCTTCTACTCCTCTTGGTATGAATTACTTATTGAAAATGATGCCGCAGCAGACCGTTTACCACGCACACGAACAAAAACAAATGCCTAAAAATCCGTTAGCTTTTTTGCTTAAAAAAAAAAAAAAAAAAAAAAAAAAAAAAAAAAAAAAAAAAAAAAAAAAAAAAAAACATGTACAAAATACAAAAAAAAACCAAAATTGTCATGAATCAAATCTACATTCGCTCCAACAAATACTAAACCTGTGAAAAAAAAAACAGTCATTTATCTTCCAAAACGCTATACATACAAACTCTTCCAGAACAATATATAAAAAAAAACACTTAAGAGAAGTAAAAAAAGCATAAAGGAACTTACATATTCATTTCTTTAAAAAAAAAAAAAACATACATAGCTACAAAAGTGCAATAATACATCAATTGAGAATAAAAAACATAAAAAAAGTTGAGAAAGAGAGGGGACTGAAAGCGGTTATGGTGATAAAGAGGCTCACAGGCATACACACATACACACTACTGTGTAATCTGTTGCACTGTCTTGCCACGGTACTGTTGGCTCTGCAGCATCTTGGAACGCTTCAGCTCCTCGCGCTCTGCAGCGATCTTCACCTCCTCCTGCTTAGCCAAGTGCGCACGGTACTCGACCATCTTGCTGCGGCGGTTCATGTTGCCATCCTCCACCTCCTCGGCGGGGTGCACAAACTCGATACCAGCGCGGTTCAGCGCGTCCTCCGTGGGGCCGAACATCTCCAGTGCCTGCGCCATCTTGTCCTTCAGCATCTCCAGCTCCTCCTCCACCTGAGCACGTAGCTTGTACAGCTCCTTCTTCGCATCCGAGTATTTCTTTGCGTTGGGGTCGAAGGTCTCAATGGCAAACTCCAACTGGATATGGGTCGTGCGGATGTTGCGGTCGATTTCCTCTAAGCGCTTCTCCTTCTTGTACACCAACTGACCCAGGGTCTTGTACAGGCGGCGGAATGCCTCGAAGTACTCCTGGTGCACCTGTAACCGCAGGTCCGACAGCTCCTCGTTTGTCTTGTCGTGTCGTGACTTGATGGCGCTGCATCCCTCCGCCACCAGCTCTTCCATCATCCCAATACACCGCATTGCGAGGTCGCAGTTGTACACCGACAGTTCCAGCAGCTTCTTGTGCTGCCCGCATACATCAAGGAACTGCTGGTATTCCACCTTGCGCTTCTCCTCACGGTCGTTCTCCTCAATGCGTCGCTTCACCTCCTCGAAGCGTTCAGTTCCAAGTCGCTGCAGCACACGCTCCAGCTCCTGGATACGGCGCCACGCCTCGTCTTGCTTGTCGAGGTTCTCCTGGATGAATTTCTCAGACTTCTCCTTCTGTGACGCGAACCGTTTCATCGCCTCGGCGTCCTCCAGGTCTGCCTTTTGGATGGCATCGTGCAGGTTCTTCAGGTCCTCTTCGCAGCGCTGCTTCAGGCGCCGCTTGGCGTCCTTGATTGCGGACGACTCCTGGAACGACTTCCTCTGCACGTCCTGGATGTTGCTGAACTGCTTGTTCTCATCCTCCGTCTGGCCAATGATACGGAACTTGTCGGCCACCAGCTCCACGAGATGCTCCAGCAGCTGTGCCTTGATGTAGTACTGCTCCTCCGCAATCGCCATCTCACCATCGGCTATCGCCACGTTACGGATCTCCTTGGCCTTCTCAATGGCCGCCAGCTGTGCCTTGATCTGCTCCTCGTTGCCCAGCAGTGCTGTTTGCACAACGGTCACGTTCATGCAGCCCTCCAGGTTCTTCAGCACCGCAACCGGTACCTGTGCCATTTCAGACGCGTCCAGCTGTGAGCGGCGCAGCTCGTCCTCGATCTTATCCAGCTTCGCAATGGCGTTATCAATTGTTCCAGTAAACGACACAGTGCGCGTCTTGTTGTGGTGCTGCTTCAGCTCGTTCAACGTCTTCTTCAGTGCCACAACCTCCATGAACTGTGGTTTATCCTCAGGCTTGTACAGCTCTCGCACAGACAGCTGCAGGCCGCACACGCGCATCAACTTCTTGATGTCATATGCTTCTGTGAGGTTCCACTTTGTGCCACCCTCCACGGCAGCAAGCAGCTCATTCGCCTTCTCATGGGCAGCCTGCAGCTTCTGCTTCTGTGTCTCGCTCCAGTCGGACACATGCAGATCCTGGATGAACTCCTCGTTCGACAGGCAGGAGGTTTTCAACTTCAGGTTGTGGATCTTCTGTTTGCGGGCAGCTTCCAGCGTGACATCCGTCACCTCCGGAACCGCAGGCTGCTGTTGGTCGGCAGGGGACACAACTCCTTCCACTTCCTTCTGACTCATAGTTTGTTAGTTTTTTTTTCCCTTAATTTTACTGTTGTTTATCAACAAATGCTGTGCTACAGGAGAGAAGTGGGAAATAGAAAAAATAAATATGCCTAGGATTTTATTTTTGTTTTGTAATAAAAGAGGAAGTATCAGTTACTTTTATATTTTGTCATTCCTTTTAAGTTTTTGAATAAAAATACAATGTTTTTTTTTGTTGTATATGTGTGTTTTTTTTTTTAGGTAGAAGAAATTTTAGCACGTATATGTCTGTGATTAAACTAGTTGGGCCTCACACTTTTGTCACTGTCTTTATGTGTATTTGCGTGTAGGAAATCGTGTATTTTTTGTACTTGTTGTGGAGTACATCGTTTTCCAACTAATCGCATTGCAGCGGCATGGAATTCACTTGTTGTTGCGCCATTTTGGTACAAAAATGTTACCCAAACCGCAAGGCATTGAATGGAGTGAGCATCATTCTTGTTGAGTCGTGCGATGATCCACGCAATTAAATCGTGTGGTACACGAAAGAAGGATATATTGAGCCAATGTAATGCTAATTCTGGATGTTGTATAAAAGGCTCTAACAATTGCCAGGTGACAGTATGACTGTCATCGTTATTATTAAGTTCTGCAACTGTTTTGAACTGTGAAAGCAGGTGACAATCATATTGAGGTGGCAATGCTCCATGAGTGTCTACTATCTTTTCGGTCAGTTTTTGTGCCAATTGTATTTGGGCCGAAATGAACTGTGGTAGGTCTCGAACAACGGCTGAACTCCACGGCAGTCGTTCTGGTGCGTTAGTAGCTGTAGACTCAGGGTCAAAAAAATCTGAAATAAGAAAAAGTCTTACTGTTGCTTCTGTAAGGCGTGAACGTTCTTGCTGTGTCGTAGCTTCATGGGCTAGAATAAATGCATTACGCAGTAGTAACCGTGACCAAGATCGCTGTACACCTGTAAGCTTATCGTCGTTAATAGCGAGGAGGACACCACTCACGACAGCCCACCGCATTCGATGTAGCGAATTACTATCTGTAACATGTGTTGCTAACACCCGCGACACATACCACATATACCCACGCTGTTGATAAGATGCATTAGTTGGTGTGGCGTGCTCGCTGGAGTGCTGGTCTTGTTGCTGCAGATGAGTCCGTAGTTCCTCAATGGTACGAATTGATTGCGATATTTGCTGCTGATATTTGTGCTTCCACTGAGGTTGCAATGTGAATCCATGTTCTTCAATAAGACTGGGGAGCTGTTCCATTTCCTTGTGTAGCGCTAAAGCAGTGGGACCTGATAAGGGTGTTATATTAGACTGTACAAAGTCCATCCACACTGCAGCCGCCACACCATTAGCTCGTGCAAAGTGATGTCGACCCCAATGATATTGCTGTGCAAGTAAAACACTGTCATTTACGCGCGTTCGCGGGTCCATACCAGCTATTCGTTCATAGTTACTATGTGCCTCGCGGTCACTGTTTGGTGTTTGTGTAACAACAACTTCCATCACCCGTGCTGTGACTCCAATAGGCTGTGTATGATTGTTATTTCTGTCACTGTTACTGTTTTTACCATTTCCACTGTTATTATTATCATCACTAAGAAGGGCGAGGATAGCACGAAGGATACGAGCCCCGCTTGCTGCGGCGATGGTGCCGTTCTGCGGGTGTACATCTGCACGATTGGGGACGGGGAGGCACCGACGGGCCGTTGAGTCCCGCAGCGGCCGGCCGCCGATGACAGTCCGCACGAGACGACCGCCCGCCGGGAGCCGCATGGCGACTGCAGCGACTGCCGCGATGGCGACTCCATCGAGTTGCAACCACAATTCCCCCGTTCCTCTCTTTTTCTCTTTCATTTCCTCCTTTTCTTCTTTTTCTCTCTTTTCGTTCTTTTCATGAGGCTTTTGGGCGGTGTAAAGGGCGGTGGCGGCAAGACGTAGGGACTTGTACGCCCACCCACCCTCAAGCAGCAGGCGCAATAAATGTCCAACGGCATCTGCGGCGACCATCACAGAACCGTGCGGCGGTAAATGATCAACACATTCCACACCATTACTCTCATCATTTTTGTGGTGATTCCTCCTGTTTTTCCTTGACGCCCACGTAGAGTTCCTGTTGCCTTTGTTAGTAGTAGTAGTAGTGTTGGTGTTGGTAATGGATTTATTCCTGCGACGGGCTATATCACTCTCTGTACGTTCCTGGTACTCCATGCGATGCATCATGAATTCCTCCATTAGTAGTTGTCGTCGTGTTTCCACCGTATTACTTTCATCCTGCAGGGCTGAGAAAATTGCTAACGCTTCTTGTGCATATGGACGTATACTCTGGCGTAGCCTAATCCCTCTCTTACTAGCATTATTACGGCTGGTGACGCTACTGCTAATGTAAAGACGTCGCTCTCGTTCAAGAGATTCTAGAGGTGAATCTACATCTCCACCTCTACTAAAAAGTACAGCTTTAAGTGGACTCCAATGTAGTTGATATGTATTACTGGCTTCTCTACCAATATGTAGGAGAAACACATTTAGTGCTGATACCACAAATGAATGCCTAATAACAGGAAGATGATGTTGTGCATAACCGATTGCAGTGTAGTTTTCCATTTGATGTGGTGCAAACATTTGCGCATCTGTCCATGCTAACCATCCATTCGCGCGCAGTAGCGGATGTGAAAAGTCCTCTTCCACATCCTGGGCTAACTGCCGTGTTATACCTATTATCGCAGAGCGAGCAAAAGCAAAGAGAGATGTACTCTGACGAAGAATACGCAGAGAAATAGTAGAAAGGAAAGACTGGAGAAATACCCAGCAATTTATATACTGTGTATGTACTGTATCACCTGGCCAAAGAGTATTATTACCTTTCGTATGAGCCAGTAGAAGTAATTTATATAAAAGAGATCTTTGAATAGTTGCTCCTGTAATTGGGGAAACCCTATTTGATGCCGGAATACGTGCAAGAAGAGTGGCTTGCTGTAATAATAATATTGCCGACCATTGATGAGAGTTCTTTGAAAGGTCATTCCCCTCACTAAAGATATCGAACATCTCAAGACGATGTTGAAGTAGAACAGTAGATGCTTCCTCAAAAAGTTCTTGCGGTGTTGATTCTACAATTTTTTTCTTGTGGTGTGTATCATAATAGTGCTGAGCCGCACGACACAAGATCCACTTAGTCAATGGTGTACAGAGAGCGATACGTGACCCCGATCTATTATTATTATCATCGCATTCAGTAATATAACCACGAAAAATAGAAAGTACCCGACGAAGACGCTGTTCACTAGAATCATGTAATATCTGATGTTCCTCTCCTTGTTGTTGTTGTTGTTTCTTTTCTACTTCTTCCATCTCTCCTTCCAAGAGTTGCGTATGACTGTTTTGCATAGATGTTAACTGACGTGTGAACATCTCATCAAACGTCTCTTCCTCTTCGTTATTTATATTTTCTACTGCCATTAGTCCACTCAAACCCAATTCTCGCTCCACTGTAAGAATACCTCGAGAAGATTCAAAGTTTACTGCAAGATCAACAGCACCCATCCCATCAGAGAGTACTTGCTCAAGATATTGCTGCAACTCTTCTACCGACAATTCTTTTCCGCTTAACTTCCGTTGAATCTCCTCTGCTACATCTACTGTCAAAAGATCCCAAAACATTTGCAAAAGTGTACCCATCCATGTACAACTCTCTTGTACCAACAGCAATTGTTCTTGTTTCCCACCCAAATCAGGGTTATCCTCCGCGGTATGAAAAAGACAATGGGCACTTATCTCTGTCCTCGCCGTACCCGCTAGATTACCATGCCACCACGGGCAACAACCACTCACGGCATCATCACAGCGACCATCTCTCAACCACATCACACACACCGTTGATGGATACATCACAAATGGGCACAACGTGGTGGCACCAGCATGCACAGCACAGCCGCCCTGATGTACACATGGGTGTAGATTTCCTTCAGATCCTAATACACGTTCTAATCGTCGTCTACGACGTTCAGCACGCCGTTTACTTTCTGATATCTGATGGATAGTTGTACTATCATTTACCGCTGTTCCAAGAGAAGTCCTACCACCATTTTTATCAATAGTAGTAACAGAAGAAATATCCTTTTCCAAGATAGAAGAGGGCATTGAAAATGCCTCTCCAGAGTGATGCCGCAATGCACGATGCAGCAATGCACTACTTCCACTCTTGACAGATTTCTTTGTCTCGTCAGGAGCACCATCTTCTTTCTGGATCTCTTCTTTAGGTTGTCGTACGTATGCAACAGCATTCAGAGGGAGAAATTCCTTACATTCCCCATCTTGTTGTCTTTGTAATGAGTCATTCCACTTTTTAGTGGCTTCAGCTCTTGCTGCCATTTCAGCAAATTGACGAAGATCATTGCTAGATCCTTGAAAACGAACTTCACGGCGGTCAAAGTCTGCCCCATATGTTCTTCTCTGATTCGTCGCATCTTCGTCTAGACCAAGAATATCACGTGATCTCTCTTCGATAGAGCGATCAAAGACATCAAGTGATACCCCGTTGCGGCGCAGACGGGACTCTGGAATGGTCATTCCAACATCATCGCGTGCGGGAGAACGAACAGTGGAACTTTCATTTCTTTTCTTTCCCCTATGTCTTCTTGCAGAAGTGCGAGAATCATATTGTTGTTGGAGTACCAAACGCAAGGAAGATATGCACCGCCGCATACCCAACTTGTAAGGTCCCTAACGGTAGTCATTAAAAAAATACAGAATATCAAGCACAAAAAAAAAAAAAAAACAGAAAACGAAAACAATTATAATAGCATCAAAAGAAGTAAGAATAATTCTATCAGGCAGACTCAAAAAAAGAGTGAGTGAGAGAGAGACATATATTTTTCCTATCAATGGTAAGGAATAACTTATAAAAACCCAATAATCAATTTGGGTAGAAACTAAAAATAATGACATTTAAACTGCGTCATTGACGCATAGTACACGAATAGTACATTATAGACACAGCAGTGAAAAACAAAGAGACATTAAAAAAGATTCCATGACACATAGTAAGGAAGTAATACCTATCAAATCAAGATAGTTTCGCGACCTTTTTACTAGTTTTCGCCACGTGATTATGAACGGCATCAGTTTTAGTAGTAATAGCATCAAGGTGCCTATTATGTTGATCTAGAAGTTCACCTTGTAGGAGGGCCTGTTGTCGCAGGAGTCCAACATTGTATATCAATGAATCAATCATTTTATCTTCTTCCGTAGTAAGCGAAGAACATCCCACTTTTTCTTCTTGCTTCTGTTTTGTTGGTATTTCGGGTTGAACAGAGATCTGGGCACCCACAGGAGCACTGAGAGTGGTAACTACACCTGTATTTTCGTCCTCAGGATCTGTCTTCTGTCGCAGTTTCGACCTAAACCAATTTATAACTCTCGCTCTTCGTGAGAAACCCCGAAGTGTGCGATCACTCGTTTTCATGTTTTCTTCCATATCGTCCAGATGTTGACTGATCTTCTCCATTTGCTCTCCCTGCATCTGCAGTTCCCGTGTGGTTGAGAGCCCTGTTTCAATAGCTGACTGTGCATGTCGAGATGCCTGTCGCAGCATATCCAAGGTAGAGACAGCACTATCCGCCGTCGTCTGGTTCCTCACACCGTCAGGAGTTCTGCCAATCTCTAATCCCGCATTCCGCATGGCCAATTCTTCTGCATTCGGACTCAACATCATCTCCCGGCGTTGCCGCAGTGGGGAGCCATCACTACTACGACTCATCCCTTTTTCTTTTTTCTTTTTTTTTTTGATGCGTTCGATCCAAACGGTGAGTGTCTTTTAAAAAAGAGAGTCCACACGGTACCCCTCACTTCACCCTTCACCCCCTGCAAACACACCTGTACGCATAACACAAAGAAAGATAGAAAGAGAGAAATGGAAAAAAAAAAAAAAAGAAAAAAAAAATAATAAGAAAAAAGGAACAAACAACGGAATGCGATAGGCCTTCAGTAGGGACTGCAAATTGTGTACAGTACAATGTACATTCGGAGAAAGACTAAATAAACTGCAGGTGTGTATGTACGTATCCATATTTAAATGAAAAGAGAAAAAGAAAAAAAAAAAGCGCACTGCGGCATACAAAATGAAATTTAAAAAAGAGAAAAGCGGAATAATAAAATCTCAGAAGAGAAAAAGAAGATCCAGCATTTTGAAAGAGAGTTAGAATTACACACCCAAGTACAATTCCCCAGAAGGAAAAAAAAGAGAAAAACAGAAAAAAAAAAACAAGAGAAAGAGAGAAAAAAAGGTGCAGACCACCCTCCCCCCTTCCAACTTCTCTAGTGGTGTGGATCTTTCAGTGATCAGGATCTAAGTGCATTTAGTGATTATTTTATATCTTCTTCCCTTGTCCTAAAGAACCATCCCTATCACTATTCTTCTTTTTATTCTACTCGAGTATTACAAAAGGCACAAGAAACGCTTTGTTTCTTCTGACAATCTTAACTTTTTATACACACACACACTCACTCACTCTATCTCACTTTTTTTTTTTTTATTTTTCATAAGAGCAAACAAAAACAGGCATACAAATACACACACACAGATATATATATATATCATTAATTATGCCGCTGTTGCTGCTCTTACTACTGTTACTGTAATAGGCGATGGTATTGGTAAACAAAGGAATCAGAGATTAAAAAATTTATCCATCTACAAAAACAAAACAAAAAAAAAAACACTCAGGAAAGACCATATAACGCGTGGAATCATGTAATCGATACCGAAAAAAAAAAAAAAAACATGAGTAAAAACAAGAAAAAAAAACTCTAGCACATACAGGAAATCGAATCAAAAAAAAATGTACAAGATAGTGATACACAAGGGTACAGGAAGAAACATAGAAAGGTCACAAACAGTGCAGGGGGACCTACACGAAGTGAGCCAAGATTAAAAAGAAAAAAAAAGAAAAAAAAAACTCTGTTTTGTACTGAAATTATAATCACACCCATAGTAGGGGCTGTGGAATTAATGTTTTTTTTTTTTTTTTTGTTGGTAGGGGAAATTAGATATCACCTTTTAAAAGTTAATTTAACCAACCATACCTGTTGCTGTTCTCTTATTAATATTTTGTATTGTTTATTCACCACCATTTTTTTTTCTTATTTTTCTAAACCGTAACTGGTAAGCAAGATTAACATGAAAAAAGTACTTATTACAATACCATAAATGAACTCAAAAAGAGATCAAATCGCAAAAAAGGGGGTAAGACACAGAAAGACAAAACATAGTAAGAAAAAATCCAGTTAAAAAAAAAGGTTAAGAAGAATAAAGAAAGCTTAACAAAATTAAAATTAAAAAATGAGTTTATGAAACTCAGTACAGAGATAAAGCTATATTGGGGATGCCAATTCTGCTACTCTCTCATGAAACAAAGAAATCATCTTCAACCCATTACCCATCTACACCAGTTTCTTCACATATGCTTTTACCCACAAAATCAATAACTAGTGACACGAGGACCGGACACCATTCTCAAGATCAATATCCCTCTTTCATCCCGGGATGTTTGGCCATTGGCGAAGAACGCGAAACGCTGCGCTTCATGTCATTCTCTTTATTTGAGTGGTCAGCGAGAGTGTGGGAATTATGCGGTAGTGCATCTGGTGATGCGGCCCGCGAGACGGATGCATCACTCTCTGTGTCAACTTCCGCAGTCTCGGCAAGCACACCTTGTGCAGAGTGTACAAGATTCATGACAGCAGCAAGTCGGTTCCGGCTTGCACGCTTTGTTACCTTAAGCAATTGACGTAGTTTACCAGTCTCATCAGTTGCCTGCTGTTTTGTCTGCTCCAGTTGTTTCTGCAGCATTTCCACAGCTCCCAAGAGCTGTAGCCGTGCCTCTGTAGCGTTACTGTAGTCTGCCATATTAGCAGTAACGAATGTGCTATATTCCTCTAGAGCTTGCACTTGTTTCTCACTGAATCCATCAAGTGTATTTGCGTATGCACCTCGGGTATACTCTTCGACATTTATCATGTAATGATTAAGCTCTTCAATACGTGCGATAGCATTATGAAGCTCGGATTCAAGTGTCTTTATACGTTTTTCATCTTCAGCTGACTTCTCCTCATTCAACTGCCGTTCTGCATCCGTCTTGTTACGCAGGTTATCCAACTCTGCTTCATAAGCAGCAATTTCTTCCTCCATCTGTGCTTCATTTCTTCGCAACTCCTCCCCCATATTGTTCAGCTGTGATTGCAGCTCCGCCTGCCTCTCCTCAGCAATACGAGTATCATTGGCATAGCGCTCGCTCAGCTCCTTTAAGGCCTCTTGGGTCTCCTGAAGTCCCTCTTCCGCTGCGGCCAGTTCAGTCTGTTTGTTTTCCAGCTGTGATTGCAGTTCTGTCTGCCTCTCCTCAGCAGTTTGTGTCTCATTGGCGTAACGCTCCTCCAGCACCTTCATTGCGCCCTGTAATTCATCGAGCTGTTGTTCACGTTGCGCAATCTCTTCAGCAAGCCCACGAATGGTCTCATCACGCTCAGTGGATGCGGCATCGTATGCAGCCTGTTTTTCGTTAAGATCGTTTTCCAAACGCTCAACCTCACTCTGCCACTGTAGAATCTGCTTTCTAAGATCGGCTTCCATATTCTCCATCTGTGAT